TAATTAACTTTGAATTAAAAATCGGCCAAGGTACAAATTTGGTAAATATAAACTAAGTCAAAATTAACATTTGATATATGAAATCAATGTAGAATTTAACGTAAAATCAAAATATATCATTATTATTTGCACGGAACATATCGTATTTGAAATATTTTCAAATTAAGAAATTTTAATTTTAATTTTTGTTATTTTGACGTTGTTAATTAATAATTTTTTACAAATCATACATTATTCTTAAATTAATGCTAAAATAGAAGAAAAATATAAATTAAACTGAATAATTATTTTTTAGCTGAAATTCAGTTTTTATAATCATGAAGTGTTCTGTATAAAAAATTGATTTGGTCCATTCGAAGTCTGTCACCAGAGCTCCGATGGTTCCTCAACCTGTTACTGGTGAGGGAAACCTAATCCTAGCCAGAGAGTGACCTCGATGACCTAGGCGAGGGAATTGGATTTTCACAACCTAATCTGGAAATCAAGTCTGGGTTGTATTGGTGTTGTGGGTGGTGGCCGGGGTTGTCGGGATGTTGTGGTTGGTAGTCGGGATTCGGGCGGTGTTGTTCGTGTGATGTAAGAACTTATTTTAATGAATTTTAGTAGTTTTACATAAATTACAAGAAATCTTTAAATTTCACTGATGTGATAATATAATGTGATGACTATAATCTGATTCTACGTTAAATTCTACATTGATTTCATATATCATAAGTTAATTTTGACTTAGTTTATATTTCCCGATAAAAGTGGTCACTACCGCCGAACAAGAGGTCGGTCGGTCATATAGATTATATCAATGGACTCCTTATGCAGTGTACTTTCATTTTATATTGTGAAATCCCGGGTGCCAGCTTAGGCAGATCTCGACATCCTCCTTTACCAAAATCCCAATTGTGTTGTTTAGCAATGAATGTGTTGTTGACTGGAAATAATAGTATTTATTTTAATTATTTAACATTTGTATTTTAACCATGGGCAGTATGTTTTCCTGACGACATAATTGTAAATATATTAATTTAATTTGTAAAAATCAATTATTTCAATGTGCACTAGGTAACAGACGATTTGGTTGAGAAAATACTGTAATTTTATGGAATAATGGTATTTATTGTAATGATATAACGGCAATTGTGCTAAACTTTTTATCCGAAATATCGCTAAACATTATATTATTTTAAAACAATCTATATTTTTATAACAATCAAAACCAAACAATTATTATATAAATATCTAACCAGTCAAATGAAAGTGTCCCCGCGGTTTTTGTGATTACAGCTAAACTAGAAGAGCTAGATCAAATCTGTAAGAAGTAAAATGAAGGTCCACATGTCTAGTTTTTTGTATCAAAAAATTACTAAAATCACGTGACCACAACACAGAAATTATTGGGTCAAATCGATTTGCCATGTTTTTTGCCCACCTCGAGGGGGGCTAGGAAGGGGGCGGGTATGCTCATCTTTAAAGGAGATGTCAAAGACTATGATAGCAAAATTTGGTTGAAATTCATTCAGCCATCTACGAGAAATTGTTAATTNGAGCCCTTCTTTTGAATCTTTCCAATATTTTTAGACTTATTTCGGGACTTATTCTCAATTTAATCAATGGATTGTATGTCAAGTCATTGGTTTCTTCAGCGGTTTTTGTGACCAAATCCGTGTCGAAGAACTTATTGTTAAACACATTCTTCTGGACTTCAATTCGTTTAACAATTTTTCTTTTGACTGATAAACGTTTTTTCAAAAATTTCTTGAAACCAAATGACCCAGATTTTAATTCATAGCTTTTAATGTTATTTGAAACAGTTTTGAGAGCAAAACTAGATGTCTTATTAAAACCAATGAATTGAGTGGATTTATTCACATCACTAACTATTAACTCAAAACTTTGCTTTGAATTTAACGTAAAATCATATTTCTTATCATTAAGAGTGAGAATCTTATCAAAATGTACTGAAAATACAACACATATTATCAACATTTTTGCAACATTTTTGTAAAACATGTTTTTAACTAAAAAATTTGTATTCATATCATATAAATCACAAAACTATTTATAATAATAAAATCCGAAATGTTATCCAATTTTTATTTTTGGAAATTTTCTAATAATAATTGATTTAACAATTGATTCACTCATTCGTGTCAAGGATTGTGTAAAATTAATATAACATTTCAATATAAACCTTTATTTAGGGTTAAATGACTTTCATCTCTCTCTCTCTCTCTCTCTCTCTCTCTCTCATAATAAACTTAAAATAAATAATATTAATTGGAATCACATTTATTCACGCGTTTTAATCATTCAATTATTAATTTCATATGAAATGCAAAACAAAAGCATTGAATGAAACGTTTGGTTTGAACTCTCTCTCTCTCTCTCTCTCTCTCTCTCTCTCTCTCATGAATTCAATGAACTACTTGTTTAATCAGAAAACTCTCACTATAGGTATTGGAGTGGATATTGAATATAGTTTTTGATTCAATTGATTACCAAATTGTTGACTGATTTGAATAAAAATAAAATGTAAAAGAGATAAATATTACACAAAATAGCAGTAATAGTGTTATCAATAACTACAGTATATTATTGACATAAAACTATTCAATGGGATAACAGAATATTAATGAATTAATGTATGCACAGAATATTTGTGACCTATTTTTTGTAGCAACAAATGATCAAAACTTTATTGTCAACCAAATAGTTGTGTAAATGCATTGTTAAGTTAATTATCACTTATAGTAAATAGTTTGAGAGTTTTGTGGTTAATAATGGTTGAGTTAATAACCATATATTTGAATGCATAGGAAATTATTACACAAATTAAACACAATATCTTTAGTGTGAAGCACTTGTTATACAGACTTTCGTTTGTATTATGCAATCAAAAGGTGTTTATTATAAAATTTAACTACAATTGTGTTTACAAATAGGAAAAATTTCTATACAATTGTTATAATATTATAAATTAGTAAAATGTTATATATTTTTAGCCCTTTTTGTGATCTATTTTAATGGAAAAAACTCAAACACGTGTTTGACTTAAATATTATAATTTAAAGTATGACTTTTTTATAAACAATTTGTTATAATTTTTCACAAATAGAGATAGAATTATATTTATATGTATGTAAATTTGTTTTATAGGATCGCTAGGTTCCCTGTTATAAATATTAAAATAACCTAGCATAAATAATACCTTACATACTAATATCATAAATAGTAAGGAGGATGTCGAAGACCCTAGGTTAATTTGCCTAAAAAAATAATTTTTATTTAACCCTACGAAAAAAAGTTACCAAATTTGTACCTTGGCCGATTTTTAGTTCAAAGTTAATTAAATGCGATTTTCTTTATAATACTAAACATATGTTAAAAATAAGTCTAAAAATATTGGAAAGATTCAAAAGAAGGGCTCAGAATAAGCGGAGGAATAAACACAGGAATAAAATCGGAAATAATTATAATTATGACAAAAATAACAACAAAGGTTTGCTTAATTAGTAAATTTTTATTCATGTAATAACTGATTGATTGTCACTTGAGATCCATCATTGTCCGACCGATTGCTGACAATGGCATCCGAGACACTGAAAGATGGACTCAGAGCTGGTGTTAGGCTTTGGAATAGTTTGCGAAAACAATTTGACGAAACCATCAGTAATATGAAACAATCCGACGAATGAAATTACATCTAATAAATCATTGCTCCGATTATCACACGTATCATTAAAATTGATTAAAAGTATTGTAAACTCTATCACAACTTATTATTTACTATTTATGAGATTATAATGAAGTAAAATATCATTCATAAATCATTTTACACTCTATTATAAAGCAGCACTTTTTTGTACACATAATTACAGTTATGGCTAAATAACTAAACACTTTATAAGTAGACATACTTTTCATAATTAATATAACTAATAAAGAATTGACAAAATTAATTGCATTATGATAATAACTTTATTAAATGTTAGCATTGATACAGTTTCTGAATGGCTGTGATGTCTAATTTGCTTAAACCGTATTTTTCGTTCACTTCGACCATCCGTTCAGACGAGTATTGAGCCTTTGGTCCCATTGTCTTAGATATGCTGTCTTTGCTGAAGGCGAGCGGTCCGTAAAGCATGATTGAATTGAAATCAAATGGTACGATAAGCCGGTTATCATTTGGTCCGAGCTTGGTGAATTGGCCCTCATAATTGATTCGTATATTTTGAGTGTAAATCTCTAAATACTGATCCCTGTCTGACCTTTGATGCTCGTGGTAAAAGCCAACCACATGTCCCAACTCGTGAACAATGGTTCCCACGTTATGACACCCGTCACTCAGTGATAGCAACTGTTTTCCGCCGATTCTTCCCACATATGATGAACAACTAAATTAAAAACATTTTCATTAAGATTTATGTTTTTCAGAAATTGTAATAAATTTATGTTAATTTTTTAATACCCGTCAACTTTCGCCAGATATATGTAATCATATTCTGTAGTTCTCTCCATAAATCTAATGCAAGTGTTTTGATGGTATCGATTCATCGCTTCGAGTATAACAGACTTTTTATCCGCTTTTTTAAACAAAATTTTTATTTAAGTTAGTTTATTATTGTTTAATATTCTGTAGTCACAAATATTGATTACCAAGGTCTGAACCGATCACGTACGGTATGTATCCCATTGGCCACAGCCTATTGTCATCAGGTATTGTATTATTTATATTTGTTTGCTATACCATTGTTTGTATTGTTTGATATAATAATAATATAATTTTATAATTTATTTTTGATAATACAATTAATAAAGCAAAAAATGCTTTTTTCATACCATAAACAGTTTTTGAATGTCAATTCCGGTCATATCTCCTCCAAATAAGTTTGGATTCTCCAAAACACGTCTCTCTAGTGGTGTCGATATATCGGTTAGATTTTCATTTACTGTACAAATAAAATAAGATATCATAAATAATATTGTTTAAAAATCAAAATACTATATTATCTACTGATTACTCACAGGGCATACAATCAATTCCTATAAGGAATAAAGTAAAAACCACAAACATTATGAAAAATTAGTTTTAATAATTACAAAATAAGAGTTAAGTAAGAATGTAATGAATGAATTTAGAAATGATTATTACATTTCGTGTATTTTATATGGAAATTGCTTGGAAACAGATAGCAAAAGTAGTGATTGTAATATTTATAGTATTATTTGTATTACAATTTTTAATATTTATACCTAATTGTAATTCATAGGATTGTGATTAGATTTTTGAATAGCATTTTAAGTATATTTCTTATCATTAGCCGATTAAAGTTTAATACTTGTTATAATTTCTATTAATATTTAATTTTAAGTAAACATACAAAAACAAATCAAAGTTTTTAATATTACATTATAATTTTAATAAAAAGTATAATGTAAAAGTTTATATTGTTTCTCGCGATATAAATGCAGTAATAATGCCTTATTTGAAACCACACGAGCTGTTTATTAAGTTTTGAATATCGAAAAACAAAGCCTTTCTTTCATTTGTAAATTTATCGCAATTTCTTGAATCAGTTATTGATATCTGAAGTGAACAGAGAATAGATCTGAAGAAGTGATGTCTATAAAGGGAGAGAAGGTGTCGGTTCAGAGCGACGGTCCGAAACTGAGCGCAACCACTATTATAGCGGTGTTTCTGTTATTAGCGATGGGATCGACAAAAGTGGCCAAAAGTGACGATATATGCGATGCCATTGTTGTGGACGCCATCACTGAACTGCAAAACCATACGATCGTTATCTTCAAGGGTAAGAACGTGTGGCTTATGAATCGGGAGGCGAAGACAATGAGCGGTCCCTGTCCTACAGTCGGTGTGTTCAGCCCAATGACTGGTCCGGTGGTGTCGGCCATGACTATCACAGCGCACGACACGATCACCGAATTCATCGGTTCCAGCGTTTACTTCGGCGACAAAGAGTTTTATACGTTCAGAAATATGGGCCCGTATTCTGTAGAGTGGGGTTCACTCGTATATCTGCCCCATAAGGGCCGCAACGAAGAGATCGGCGCCTCTTCGCCGGTGGCCGTCACTTACATGAAACAGAAGATGTCGTACGCCTTCTTCGACCCGATCGAGAAGAGGTCCCGATTCGTGTTCGCCGACGACTCTGTCCTGTCGTTCGCCTTCGATGTCGGCGCCCAATACGACACCCCAACGGTGGCCACCATTCACGACCTCCTCCAGGGCTATGGCCTACAAGTGGTGCCCAACAAAGTGAAGGCCGCACTCACTCTGAAGGAGTCGGACGGCGGATACGCTCTCTATCTGTTCACTAAAGACAAGTACTGTTCCATAAAACTGACCAAAGGCTACACCAAGTCATCGGACGGTCAGGAGTGCGCTCTCACGCCTACCAAAGAGTTCTTGATGTGCGACAAAATAGTCCGAAAGCCCGGTTCGTGTGGTAAAGGCGACGCCGAAAGACCGGTCGAAACCGGAAAGAACCCGTCGGGCACTCAATCGGCGTCGAGTCCGGAGTCAAAGGCAGGCATCAAAAGCCGGAGCGATAGCGTGCCCTCACAAACGGACACAACTCCGGCCAATCGTTCACCTGATGTTCGCCAACATTTCAATAAATTCACTCTCATTTTTGTCCCATTTATTGTTTATTACAAATTTTGATTCAATTTATTAATATTTATCGATTTGTTTATATTTAATGAATTTATTAAATCTCAATATTTTATGTTTATTTGAAAATAAAACTCTTTGAATACTTTT